ACAATAAAGAAGATGATTATTATTGGCCTAGTTTTCAACGGCTTGCTAATTTACTAAGGATGTGCAAAATTTTCTAACATGCAGTACAAGAGTTGTTGAGATGTACCTATAATTTTTTCCTAACATTTGGTCTTTAGTTTATTCATAGCAGCTACATAATTAATTATGAATGTGTCCTTTGACAATGTTAGGCATTTACTCGCGTATTCTCAACTCTTGTAGTTTAATATGTCTATCAAATTAATATGACATGAGATCACCAAATAATACAGGTTGATATAAAAAAAATAACAAAAATAATCACGAGTCTTGACACGTGGCATGTAGTTATATTTTAACTGCTCGTAAAAAAAAATCACAAGTTTTGTCACGTAGTTATATTTTAATGTGCTTATGTTGGATAAATGAAGATTTGTGTTGATTCGAGATTGATATATTATACAATCTTACATGTTAATGAATGTGTCCTTTGACAATGTTAGGTATTTATTCACGTATTCCCGATTCTTCTAAGTTAATATATTTATCAATTAATATGACATAATTAGATTACCATATTGTACACGGTTGATATGAAAAAAAGAAAAAAAAAAAACACGAGTTTTGACACGTGACATGTATTTATATTTTAATGTGCTCGTAAAAAAAAATCACAAGTCTTGAGATGTAGTTATATTCTAATGTGTTCGTGATGGATAGATGAACATTTCCGTTGATTCAAGATTGATATTTACATGATCCCAGATGTTAATGGTTATTTTAGTATAGATTATCTATCACTTGTGAGTTGTCCCACATTGATTTGATAGGGTAGATGAGCTTAGTTTATAAGTCTAGTGAACTACTCCTCTCATCACCAATTAGTTTTTAGATGGAACCTTACTTAGGCTTCATTTGAGCCCTTTAGGCTAATCCCCTTATGGTGCGTTTCACCTATGTGGGACCGCACTTGTTTTGCACCCGTTTGACAACTAACAAGCTATGGGTAAACCCTTTTCTTTTTAATACGAGAAAAAATTGTGTCAATAATTGGTTGGGTTGAAAGAAATGCAGTGATATCTAGAACTAGGTTGAACTTTGAAATAGCGTATATAGCTATAGATATGTAAAATCTTGCTACAAGCGCCACGTTT